GTGACACCTCTGCTTCAGACAGATGGCCACTCTGGGCACCCAGATGTTTGGACTTACACAGCTGGCAGCTGTTGTCTCCTGGTCTTCCTTTGTCTAAAAGATGGAGTACTGGTCCAGTCACAGAATAGGATTCTAGGCAGACCAGGAGAGACATGAGCTACCATGGGGTGCTCTCATTTGCCTGGGGTTCAAGTGTGTGCACACTTGTTAACACATGGGCACTCAGACATGCATTTGTAAGTGTGAACACACACACACACACACACACACACACACACACACACACACACACACACACGGATAGCCACACACCAAGTCTCCAGTGGGCACAACATGCTTGCAGACTCATTAGAACCATCTCAGGTCAGGCCTCTTGGAATTTGTTAGTAGCTCATCATTTTTCATTCTTTCTTCCATCCCCTTTTTTTTTCCCTTTTCTCACTATGTATCCCCGACTCTTCCGGAACTCATTATGTAGAACTACTCAAACTCAAAGAGATCCTTCTGCCTCTGCCTCTTCAATGCTGGGATTAAAAGCGTGCACTACCGTGTCAATGGGGCAATTCATCTTTTAAAAGTCTCGAGTGACTGTTTAGGATTAAGGTTTGTATATTTGGTCCCCATTTGGCGTAACTGTTTGGGAAGGATTAGGATGCATGGCCTTGTTGGAGGACGTGTGCTATGAGCGTTGCGGCTTCCAAAGACGCACACCGTTTCCAGCGTGCTCTCTGCTTCCTGTTTGCGGATCAAGATGTGAGCTCTCAGCTCTCCTTGTTGCTGTGTCTGTTCCGCCATCACAGGCTCTACAACTGTAATCCCAGTGAAGAGCTTTCTTCTATAAACTGCCTTGGTCATGGTGTTTTATCACAGCAATAGAAAAGTAACCAAGCCATTGCATCTGTGTGCCTGTCGCTGGCTGATGTGGGACTAGAGGGCAGATGCTGCAGTGTCTGGGTTCTTGGGTCTCTCCTCTTTACAGTGAACTGTACAGAGACCCACAAATAGTCACAGGGATGGAGAAAGTTTATTAAAGTGGAGACACAGGAGGCCTGGAGGTGTGCCATGTCTCCCCTGCGGCCCAGGGACTGAGGTGAGGTCTCTGCTGACTTTTTATGGGTCATTAACCTAGTACCCTCCGCTTCCGCATAAAGGAGCGAGCGGGCTTTTCAGAGTGTGCTGTCCTGGCTGAACAAAGCTCAGGTAGGCTAAAGGCCGAAGTCTTTCCCCACAGCCTTTTGTGTGTTCATCTCTGGAATTTCCTCTACTGCTTTCCTGCCTCCTGGCTGGCTACTCAGGTCTCAGCAGCAGAACAGTGACAGCCAGCTCTCGGTCAGTCTCCTGACCACCTGCCTCTCAGCAGGATCCCGAGGGAAGGTGAACAAAGAAGAAACAAACAGTGACCCACCAGCTAGCCCTAGAAGGCCAGGAAAGCCAGTGCTTGAGCCCAGGGGCAAGGGAATTTACTGTTGACACCCGCAGGCAGCTGGCCAGGCCCCCGACAGCCAGGCTGCCACCTCCTTCACAGGATGACAGCTGGAAGCTTGATCAGCCAGACCCCTCCATGAAACCCCGAATGGCTCTGGTCTTCATTCTAGGCTTCTGCTGGAGGAACCAAAAAGGGTGTGCCAAGCCCATCCTGCTTGGAGCTTGGCACAGAGCAGTCACCCACAAGTGCTCTGGAGTCCGAAGGCAGATTCAGAGGCCATTAGCGAGTGTGTCGGTGCTGGAACAGAGCACAAAGCCACAATGGCCGACCAAAGCTGTTGGGGCCGCAGTGAGTTAGTTCATCCTCTCTCGGGAGCCCAGCCTCTGAGGGTGCCGTTTTTAATTGGAGTGGGGCAAGAAGGACAAATGGTGGGGGTTTTATTTTTAACCTGAACCGAGAAGTAGAATGAGGTGACCCCAAGCTGTGAAAAGAGCCCTGGTCATAAACGCATTTATCATCAATTAACACCTCCGGAGTCCTGAGGCTGGCCGAGCAGCTGGCACATTTGGTCAGTTCAAGTTTCACCAGCACACTCTCCTCTGCTTCTCCCTAAGAGGATGGAGAGGAAGCTGCAGGATTGCTAGTGTGTACTCAGTCAATACAGGGCCAAGGTGTGCTGCCAGGACAGCGGAGAAGGCGTTCCTCCACGGTCCCCACCCCTGGGGCACTCACCTGGCAGTGGGACCCGCCAGCAGTCTAAGTGGATAGAATGTGCTTGAGTGTTTTAATTACCTGCCTTTAGAATCTGCCTGCCACTGAGGAAAAAGGGCATGGGCTTTAAGTTTTACATTTTAAAATGTATTTTAGAAATGTATTTATTATGTGTGCAGTATTCTGTCCGCATGTGTGCCTGCATCCCAGAAGAGGGACCAGATCTCATTACAGACGGTTGTGAGCCACCATGTGGTTGCTAGGAATTGAACTCAGGACCTCTGGAAGAGCAGCCAGTGTTCTTAACCTTTGAGCCACCTCTCTAGCCCCTTAAAATGTATTTTAATGGATAACCTGTACACGCTGTACGAATGAAAGATCCAAAGCAGTGTGCAGAGAACGGCCCCTCCTGCCTCTGCCTGTCATTTTGAAGTGTGTGTGTGTGAGTGTGTGAGTGTGTGA